ACACTTGGCTAGTCAATTTGATGCATTTGTATTAATGTGATCACACAGGTTACAATAAATTCAAAGTTTGGAAATTTTAAAAGAAAAATATTGCTGCTGATCCAAAATCACAGAAGCAGTCCACAAGAGATTTTCAACATTTAAACGTAATTTTTTCCATGGAGGATGTTGATGCTATATTTTGTGTTAAAAAAGAAGGAATTTAATATTTAATTTGTATGCTTTTTCCCCAGAAGCAGCATGTTTTCCTCTAGGTGCGTGTATGTGTAAGAGAGAGACAGACAGGCAGAATGAAAATGGATAGCTGGGCAGAAGGGGATATCCTCACTTTGAGGTTGTGAAAAAAAATGATGATGAGTTTTCAGAAAATTGTCAAGCACAGACACCTGTGCAATCATGAAAATAATCTGAGTCCCCTGAAGAAAACCCTCCCTTCTTTATCCTTCTGTCCTTTCCAAAATACCCCAGTAATTATCTGGAAGTAGATGTTTTCAGGTGTGTCTAGCTTTGCTCTCTCTTATGGAAAGAGTAATACAGTTGCACAGCAAGACAAAGATGGCATGTCCTATGAGAATCAAATTCTAACACGGATAATACCAAGTTCAGTGTTTGTTACAGTACGTTCTAATGAAGTTTTATATTACTGTTATTTCTAGCCTAAGATTGTTTTGTTCTATATAGGACATTGATTTCTCTGTTAAGTGAACTGATGATCCATGAAAGCAAAAGAAATAAAGCTGTGTTTGAAGGTGAGATTAAAAAAAGTCAGTGTTCTTTTCACAGAGCATCCGCTAGTCAATCAAAATATTTAACTAAAGAGGAGGCAGGTTTTGCATGGAAAGCGTGTGAAAATTTTTTACAGTCCTTGGTTCCCTGAACGTGTAGAGTGAAATCATCTCAGATGCATCAGGTTTGGTTTGAAAGACATTTGACAAGCAATTGGAATGAATATCTTTTTCAGAGACCTTTCACTTCTAATGTGGCTGATGAGTATTTGTGACTGAATTTCCTGAAGTTTTACTGATCAATTTTGCTCTTTTTTATTAAATAATCAGGCTTTTGTGGTCTTTCTGGAAACTCAAAATACTTAATCTTAAGCAAATCCCTGAGTGCTCAGTAGCCTCAAGTCACATCCTGTTCACTCTGCTATGTGGTTTGTGAGACTGCTGACAACTTCTGCTGGGTCACCCTGGGTGTACCGTAAGGATAATTATAAGTCAAACTACACTGATTCAAGGACATTGAGACTGCTGTGTCAATGGGCAGCAACCAGGAAACAATAAAGAAAGCAAATCTGAATGACTTTTTACACAGTTGTATATACAGCAAATTATGCAGCAAATTAACCAACGTAGAGCTGAAATGTCCTTCTCTAAGACTCAGTTTTATTTGGATTGGATATATAAAGTGGAAATAAAATGCCTGTTAGATTTCATAGTGCCTTACATTATTAAGCTTAGTATAAACATTGATTAATTAATACTAAGTAGTTTTTTACTGCTGCTTGGGTAGGCACTCATTTTGAACAGACTGTTCATGCTATGCAGGACACCCTGTGGCAATAAATAGAACACCAAAGCTTCAGCAACATGTTCCAAAGCTGTGAAAAGCACGGTGTTACTCCTGTAAGTTTTGCAAGTATAGGAGATCAATTATCAGTGAAAAGATCACCGAAGGAGGGCTGAGAATCCAACTAGTTTATCTGAGAATAGCAAAGTAATAATTAGCGTGATTTTTTTTTATTACTGTATAAAATAATTCTTTAAGATATGGAAAAAAATATTCCTTAAAACTGTTTTTTTATACTCTTTTAATGCTTGAAGACTTTTTTCACCTAGAGGTATTAAAACTTGGAGTCATTTAGAAGCATTTAAAAAGTTTCAGGAGTAGTTCAGTGTGGTGGAGTGCTGACGTCTGTACCTTCAGTTGATGGTAACTAGTTGTAGCTGTACTGAGCTGTTAGCTTCCAAGGAACAGTACACTCTATGGCTGTTTGCTGTGGGGCTGAGGTCAGTTCTTGCTTCTAATTATGAGCTCTGAAAGATCTCATTACCCCCAGGCTCTTTTTTTTTTTCCTCATTCTCAAAAATTTTGTGTCATAGGCCTGTCTCACCCTTGATTTCTGTCAACATTTTGTAATATCTTATATAAATCTGGAACTCTGAGATTGTAAGTTTTAAATTTATAAACATCCTCACTGGGGGGTGGGGGGTGGGGGGAAATAGCAAAAATAAATAAATAATCCTGAAAATAGTTTGAAACAAGGGCTACCTCTTTGTCTCCACAACAGCTTCTTGCACTGTCTCGTGAAGCTTTTCAGCTTGCTCTTGGTTACATGAATAGTAGGATGTTCTGAGCTGGTAGGCAAGGAATGCATTGTATTACTTTCTGTGCACAGGTCACAGAAGGGCAGTACAGGGAGTTGCATCTAGTTTTTCTCACCTGAAAGAAAAATATCATATAACATGGCCAACAGAATGGCATTTGTAAACATTTTCCGAAAACAAAAAGTCTGATTAATTTCTAAATGAAAAATAAATAATAATATGAGTTTTTCTAACTAACTAATCAGGTTATACTATATTGTGGGCTACAATCAAAGTACAAAACTGGTCTAGTCTCATAGTCCTTAGTATTCAATCTTGTTTTATTACAGAATCCCTCACACTATCACTTTTGCTGATATTCAGCATCAGGAACTACAGTGTGTATTGTGTAATCACAGTACGTAACGATCCTTTAAACCGCAGATTAGTGTTGGATAAAACCACCTGGTTCTGTATTACATTTTACGTTTGCTGGGTGGCTGGTTGTTGTGCGGCCTTCGTTGCTTAGCTGCTCCCTGTGCTGGTGAAATGTAGAGGTCAACCTGAAATCAAGCAGTGCTTTGCTTAGGAGTGAGCCACAGATACAAGTACGCCTCTTGTGATTATCTCCTAGTTGTTTTCCACTCATTTCCAGGATTCCTTGGAGACGTTTATTCTTCCAAAACAGTTTCTTGAAATATTTTGTTCAATATTATTGTAAAAGTATATGAATATATGAATTTAGTGGTTCCTTCTGTATGATAATTCTAGGTTATTGAAAAGGAATCTAGCACAGCAAGAAGTCTATTACATGAATTTAAAAAGACAAGAGAAATAGGAATGTTTTTGCCAGATATGCTACAGATATGGTGGATACCATCACATGCTAAGTGAAAATATGTACAACCTGGGTTAAACTGAATATCTGTAGCACTGAGTGTTCACATTTGCTGTAAGATTGAAAATGTGTAAGACATAAATAAATTTGTACACAGGGAATTACATGCAAAGTCTATTTCATGGATTTGCGAGTACCAGTTAAAAGTACTTTGCCATCTACTCTCTCAAATGATAATCAAACATAATCTCTGTAGGTTTAGAATAAAGAATTCTAAAACTGGGAATGCTCATGCCACTCTCAGTCCTATGCTGCTCTTCCTTTAATGTGTTTTACAGTTACAGTTAATTATTTTTGTTCACAGATCCGCAATTTGTAAAGTATTTTCACAGGTGAATGTGAAACAAACGGAATTTATAAACCTGGATCATCTGGAGAATACAAGAAGCAATCTCAGAAATCTAATGTAATCCATGTACTGTATGCAGATCTAGGAAAAACTAACCTCATGGTTCTGAAATGTTTTGTGGGCAGTTAAACTATTATTATTGTTGATTGCCATGAAGCTTTACCAAGATGAGGGTGTTTGTTGCATGCCATAAGGCTGGTGGTAGTATAATGGAAGTGGCCTGGAAGTCAGTGCTGAAGTGGTATGCTGGTGGCACGTCCATTACATGTTCACCATGCAAGGCCCCACTGCGATGGAGGGCTGGAGTAAGGAGATTGTTGTGGAGCCATTGCTGCCTAGTCCAGTGAGTCCATGGGGAACTGCTGTTGACTGGTTTCTGTGTCTCTCCAGATGAAGTTTAGTTTGAACAGATATGTTCTCAAGCAGAACAAGAGGTCATGTGTTGAGTTCAGGTGTTCTCAAGTTCAGTTTCAGTTCTTTTAATGAACAAGAATAACTTTATTTGTCAATTTAACATTTAGGAGTTCTTATAATTTTCTTGAAATGTGTTTGGTACATGCTACCATCCCCTGGAAATTTTCCATCAGGATAAATGTATATTCTGTGTAACAGGTGGATTTACTCAGCATTTCTGTAATAGATACTAAAGTTGTGAGTCTGGCTCTCTACCATTTGTGTCAAGCACTGTTGGAAGCATTTTAACAGTGTTAGAGGTGAGCCTTTAGATATTTCTGGAGCAAAATGGTGAAATGCAGTACCCATTTTATACCATGCAAGTTGTAGCTGTTACTGTACAGACTTCCTATCTTGCTCTGAAAGAAGATAGACTGTGGGGTTGTAAAAATGCTTGAAAGTTCAATTCAGGTTATAAAAGTGGATGAAGGTTTTGATGTTATCTAATTTATGTTTCTATATTTTGCTTCAGTGCACTTTTTCTCTTCCTGTAATTTTATTCCCTCCCTGTAATGGTATGAGTACATTTGTAAAGAGGTACTTACATTTAATATGTTATCTGTTAGATATTTGGTTTTCCATTTGGATAGAAGCCTTAAAAAAATACTGCATTGCTAAAGCACTTCTGATTGGCATCAGAGGTCAGTTTTAGGTATATAAACCCACTAACAGGTTTTGACAGGAGTCTGTGTAAGTGTACTGAGGGCCACACATGCACACCTTTCAGATATGTCATGGAGTGCTAAGCCATAGTACTGTCTTTATCCTAGATGTGTATTCGTGAGAAGGAAACCACATAATGAAATGTATGAATTACTTTGGCTTCTCTACTGACTGTGATTATATTGAATGAGCTAACACAATGAGAGTTTTCTTAGCATTAACAAAATGTTTAAGCATCTTGACATGAAGCTGGCGGCATGGTAGAGACCATTTTTCTAAGCGTGTTTTACCACATTGCATCAACCATTCTGTTTCTTCCTGTTTTTTTTAGGTTTTACTGGGACTTAATCATGCTCATAATGATGGTTGGAAACCTTGTCATTATACCAGTTGGAATCACATTCTTCACAGAACAAACAACAACACCATGGATTATTTTCAATGTGGCATCAGACACTGTTTTTCTATTGGACTTGATCATGAATTTTAGAACTGGGACTGTAAACGAAGACAGCTCTGAAATAATACTGGACCCCAAAATCATTAAGATGAATTACTTAAAAAGCTGGTTTGTGGTTGACTTCATCTCATCTATACCAGTGGATTATATCTTCCTCATTGTAGAAAAAGGAATGGATTCAGAAGTTTACAAGACAGCAAGAGCACTTCGTATTGTAAGATTTACAAAAATTCTCAGCCTGCTACGCTTATTGCGCCTTTCAAGACTGATTAGATACATACACCAGTGGGAAGAGGTAAGATTCATATGGTTATAACATTATTTGCTAAGATATTATTCCTACAAAAAATTAGTCAGGTCTCTCCAAAGAGCTACACAAGAACTAGAACGGAATAAACAGTTTTTACATACAGGTGCTAGTAGAAAAACCTTTTTGGAAAGAAAAGCACAGAGTAACCATCTTCTCTCTGCTAACAACAGAGACCAAAAATGTGTTTGGGACCATCAGCAACACAAGCATTGGATGGGCTCCTACTGAGAATATTAGAAATTTTAGCAACCACCTAAATCTGGCTTTGGGTTTGGTGACTAGCACTTAAACTTATGAAGTTAATACTTTTGTGTTCACAGAGAACTTACAATACACGTTCATGTTTTTCTATTTCAGGAGAAATTGAAACCATTTATAGTTGAGTAGATTTCCTAGAATGCTCATTGTTTGAAAGCTGCGTGTAGACTGAATATGTTAAATCCCAACCTTCTTTATAAAAAATGGGTAGTTCAAATTTTGAGTTATTGCCTTCTAAACTGTCAACTCCACTATTTCCAGTCATGACCTTATGCTGCCTGCCAATTTGGCATAGTGACATTTCCAGGAAATTATAGCATTCTTAAATTGGCATGCCCATGGCTAGGAAATGTTTAATGCTTTGGCACATACCACTATGATTCAGTCATTTGATTTCTTGCCTGTCCCCATTTCTGCAGTTCTAAATATCATAATATATTTTAAAAGGAAGTGCTAAAAACATGGGGAAAATAACTGCTGTTTACTGAACCTTTCTTGCAGCAAGTGTAGTGACAATTATTTTGTAAAGTATTTTCATGGAATCACTATTAAAATAAATTTGCATGATTTTTTTTAATGTAGTTTAATAAAGACCTGTTTAGTTAAATTAATATCAAAGGGTGATTTGGTACCATTTCTGGTGCTTTTTCTGCTGGTTATCTCCAGTATTACGTTCACTTTCTGGTTTAACAGAAACATGAATATGAAACCATCTCACAAATAAAGTCAGATCGCATTTGAAAATGGTGTGATGCTGGATGGTACAAAGCATCAAATTTTTAGTAGTTTCTAAAATAGCTCCTGGAATAGGTCATTGTTTTTTATTATTGTATTTTGTAAATTCTACTTCTTTTTTGCCTCCCTGTAATGCAGTGTGACTATGTTTTTGACACAGAAATAGAGCACTGCAGTTTTATACCCAGTTTAACTAAGGCAAATGATTAAGCATATTTTGCAGTTTTACCATAGAGCAGTGCTTTTGTCTCCTCAGTGCTTCACAGAGAGACAGCCTTCTGAAATGCATTCAATGACATTATTTTCTGGCAGCTTGAGTTAATGGCTTGCCACTGTAAGCCCCACTAAGCAGAGAAATTAATACCTTTTTTATTTTCTTCTTCCATCTATTGTCAAAGATAAAGCAGGTATTCTAAACCAAGAATACTTGAATCAGCCACTACGAGGGACTAGAAGTGACCAGAGGATGTGGTCCAAACCAGTGACAGCTGGTGTTTGGTCCATTTAATCTTTAGCTAATGGCTGCTTGATTGCAACTAAATCTTTGATTCCACTAGTAAAACTTGGGCAATATTTCTTGTGTGAAACTTTATTTGACAAATATTGAAAAATAAGTGGAGTCCATCTTTTTGTGTTTGAGAACACATTGTAGTGCTCCCTGGCTGTTCTCAGAAAGGTGAGGGAGGGTCTAAAGTATATTTGGGGTGGTATTTTTGAGCCTGCGATAAAGCAGCAAGAACCTTGTTGGCTGCTTTTAAAAAAGATGCTTGATGACTGTGAGAACATGCAGGAACAGCGATAAATATGTAGACTCAATCAGGTTCTGATAAATCCCAAAATGAAATGCATGCAAGAAAAAAATGTTCTTTTTTTTGTTGGTTTAGCATTTTACAGACATCAGAAATGAAGGCACTCATGGATTTTCATATTTGGCTCTTGTTATCGCAGTAGTTGATTATTACTTTGGATGTAGCTTATGAAACTGTTCTGCACGGTCAATCCATTACCATGTTTGAGAAATTGTGTGTTACAGCACTGTAATGTTTTAAAACAAACAAACAAAAAAATAGATAGGGATGAGCTTTGATGAATTAGGAAACAATAGTTGGATGTTCCCTTAGGGGATATAAATGAGACCTTTGCTGCTGATATTAATCGTTTTCTGTACTGCGTGTGTTTGCACATGCACAACAGGGACCAACTGTTAACTAATTTTTGTTACACAGAAATGGAGCCTGTCTGTCTTGTCTAGCCTTGTTTAAAAGGATTTAACAGTTTTTGCATATGGGCGGACATGTTGGTTTTAAATGTGATGCAGATAAATCTGAAACGCTGTGTAATTGGATCCAGAATAATGAGCATTATGTTAAATATATTGAAAGGACAGCCAGCAAACTCATTCGTCATAACCTGCCAAGAGGATACTTCATGGAAAACTGACTGATGAACAAACCAGTTTGTATAAGGTGGCTGTTATCCTATTTAGGTATTTATATGTCCTCCAACAGAAAAGACAGGTTAAAATTGAGCTGTTCCTTTTTTAGCATCACATACCTGAACATCAGTTGGTCAGTATCCTGAACTTCAAGATGACTAGGCAAAAATTTGAAAGATTTGTATATGATACAAGGTTCCCTTTTTCTTTATTTCCATATTGTTTAAAGCAATTAAATCTAGATCAAACTGCAAACAGCCACATAGAGTAATAGTGAGGTAAATAATATATGCATTGCAGAATCTTTGTCCTTAACTGTTGTAAGGGAACTGAGATATAGCCTGTGGTGTGGTATGTATGAAATCTGATCGATATATTCTTATCAGTCTGATGTTAATAACTTATCCAAATGAATGACTTGGTGGAAATGGGAAGAAACATTTTCACAAAAGGACAAGAGATGTGTTGGCAGGAATTAATTTACTGAATTTGCAAAATCACGCTGTCCTAAAACTACCTTTTAGTTACAATATCTAATATTCCAGTCCTTTGCAACTCAGATATTGACAAACAGATAATATACTTACTTAAACAAAATTATATACTATGACATGCAACAAAAAAATTGTTATTTAAATTGATGATTGCAGAAATTATACTTCTGCAGTAATTTCTGACAGTAGGTTTGTTTTGTTTTGTTTTAGTGTAGGTTCCTAAAAATACCGAACAGGACATACTGGACCTAATTCTTATTTACTTTACCTTATTTTGTAAGCCTGCCTAAGCTGCCAACCCCTGGGTGTTTTACATGGGTTTGCATGCAACTAGTAAGTTATTCTTAGTTAAATATGCTCACAGATAACCGAACAATGAAAAATAAAAGACATGAACGATTAGGTAAGTGTGTAAGAGCTTTGCCTAATCAGGTCTATGACAGATCACCACTAGGTGTCCTTTCCTTGTTGCGCTGCTTGTTGCCAACAGGACAAAAATACATTGTATGTGTATATGATGTTAAGCCAATATTGTTGCCTAAATTAAAATATTGTAATAGAACATTTGTGTTATCTGGACAACCGATGACGACTCTTACTTCAGCAACTTCGGCAGCCTGCTGTTTCTGTGGTAGGTATACAGATGACTTTTGTCCCCTGTAGAAAAAATTAAACCACTTTTTCTTTCTCCTACAGCCAGGTGAGAACCCAAGGTTTTGTCTCTCTCCTTTTGATCACTGACTGGGGCATAGTGTGGGAAGGGAGAGATGATGAGTTAGGTGGGTACTTGGTAGTGTTGGATGAAAACACGTATCATTACTTATTGGATTATTATTTTTATTTCATTTTAGCAGGACTGTGTCTACAAGACTTGGGGTTTTCCTATCAATGATGGTGATATACAATTTAACTCAGTTTTTTAATGGTCCCATGGTAATGGGAGATGACACAATATTTTTTTGCTTTGTTTTCTTTCAGTTTTAATTCCTGTCCTCCAAGGAGATAGTTTAAAATATATTTTCTAGCCCTATAAAGTTGTGTCAGTTGGTGAAGTGCTGCAAATAAGCATACCAGTACAGATTGAGTGGCATTTTAAAAGTAAATTAGCTTGAAGTGGGACACACTTTTTTACTGCCTATTACAGATACATCAATCCAATATAAACTGCCTAGCTCATAGGGAGCGAGGGGAGGAAATTTGTTAAATAGCTCTGGGGGAAAGCAGACGTAGGTAAGCCTATCTTCTTTTGCTGGCACAAAGCCTGTGAATTCTGCACCAAAGCCTCGGTATTGGTGTCTTCCGCCTTCCTACCATTAAGAAGACTGAAGTGGGAGAAAATCCCTATTTCCTGGCGATTTCTTCAGGAAGGAAACAGAAAAGCACGTTTTGCATTCTTTTGGAAAGCTGTGCTTGGAAAATGCCTCATATATAGAAATTACTGAATTTGTGTCCTCCCACAAGAAGTCTATGGCTGGGGACAGGTTGTGTGGATCAGTGAGAAATATCAAAAGCCTGAGCTCTTTGGCACTTTTTTGGTTTTTTTTTAGTAAGAAGTGTTCCTTAGCAGGACTAAGTAAATATGCAAACCAGTTATTCACGTTGTTCTTCAGTGTGCAGATACTTGCTTTTGTATGTATGTCTCTCACAGCTGACTTCTATTTTGTGCTGGGCTGTTTCTCAGACACCTGCGAGGTTTGCTTGGGCCTTCCTCCTTGTTCTGCAGTCTTCCCTGCCAGACGCAGCTGTTGTCAAGTGTGCTTGACATGTGCTCACCAGCTCCACCGCTTGTGTAATCTAGAGGGAAAAAACCCCGTGCTGTTTGCGTCACAAAGTCTAAGAGCGTTCCTTGCTCAGCATAGCCATGGTAGAAGATGGGCTCTGTATCTTTCCCAGAGCAGAGGTTGCACGGCATGGTTTCGCGGTGGGGAATGCATTCCCTTTGTGACTGGCAGTTGCGCTGGCTGTCAGTTCGTTACTGAGCAGGGCTCGCAGTGCTGGTGTTCCTCCCTGATTTGACTCGGATGTTGGCTAATGGATGGTCTGTCTCTGTGACAGCAGTTGAG